GACTTGTCGTTTGCTTGCTTGCTTGCTGGGCGTATGATGAATTTCGAGGGGGCAGCCCCAAGGGGCACGCACTACAGATTCAGTCGGAGTGAGAATGGTGGTGTTTGTGGGACTTGGCCGTTCACGTAAAGGTGGGGTTAATTTGGATGGGGTTGGGGCTGCGGTCAGCATGGGGTTGTCGGCCTGTGTAAATCTCCCACACAAGTGCATTGACTCGTATACCGTTGGGCTACACGGCACTTCTGTGGATGCCAAGCCTTAGAGTTTCAGCAGGACACTCTATGCTAGCGCATTCCATCAGTAGATCCTATTGGACAACCCTGCCCCCCTTCACTCACTGTCAGGCTTGGTGCTCCCTTCATCCCTCCACAATGCTATCGACTTGCTGGTTTTGACTTATGACGGACGTTTGCTCCCTCTTCTTCTTCTGCTGGGCATGAGGAAGCCCGAAGCCTCCCCCGCGCTCCAGGCACGCCCGAGTGCGAGGTCAGCAAACTCCTCTCTCTCTCTCTCTCTCTCTCTCTCGCTTTGTCTTCCTTCCTTCCTTCCGCTGCACGTGGCCCCCCCGAGGGGAGACCGCCCCAAAGGGCGTGCACAACCGAGTCAGTCTGTGTGAGACCCCCCAATACATCGCTGTGGGGTTCCGAAAGTGGCCACTTTGGGCTACGGGTGGGGCAAAAGCGTGCATTGTGAGGACTTACACGGTTTGTAGTTTTCCGCCCTGAATAAGGCCCCGTCCCATTGGTTCCCCCCCACTGCGGATTTGGCAGTGCAGGGGCAGGTGAGTATGCCCATTTGTGGTCCCCCTCTCGCCAACAATCGAACATCCCCCAAGTCAACGAACAACACCCGGGACCCACGAGGAGAGAGGGGAACGGATGCGAATTTACTGAGTCTGCCTAAATCAAAGTTCTCCCCCTACAGAATTGGCAGTGGAGAGAAGCCCCCTTTTCCCCTAACCAGCAAAACCTCTTTTGTCTCTCTCTCTCTCTACCGCGCCATCCCCGAGGGTCTTGCTACGCAAGGGCACGACGTTTGCTTGAAGAATTGAATTTTGAGGACGCAACAAGCGCAAGCGCGCTTTTCAGGAGGCGCGGCGGGTCCTTCAAACCCGCTTTATGACATATATTTACTTTACGATTATCACCACGCCATATCACACCATCATGACATCCATCCATGCATCAACGATAACGACATATAACGACAACCTTCTCGGGGACCACCTCCGCTGAAAACACCTTCGCCGCTTTTGGGAAAACAAACGGAAGGAGCCTGCGCCAGTGCCGCTGATTGACAAACCCGAAGGCTACGAGAGCTGCAAGAACAACCGGGATCAATCGGGGCAGTATCTCCTTCCTTACATGCGGCTTGTCGCAACATCTTACCAAAGCTCCATGAAGTGGACAGCACCTCTGTCCGGCCCCCCGCACCCTCTGCCCTCCCCCTCCCCTCCCCCCGCATCTGCATCTGCCACCACAAAGGCTGCCCTCTTAGCCACCTCTTTCACGACGTTTTCGTCCTTCCGGAATCCTGGATTGGTCCAACTGCCAATTGATAATGCTGGAATCAAGAGTGGCTGACAAAGATGAAGCTTCATGTTTCAACGTTACAACTCCTGCCCATTTGCTGGGTTTGGCAACAGGGGGGTTTCATCCGTCGGATTTGAGTTCACTGTGTGGGCGGCTGTGACGAAATTTTGGCACCCGGACCGAACCGAGCCGAACACTAGCCGAACGTGAGGCTAGGCTCGACCTTCCTCCTGTGGACGATGATGCCCATGTCGGTTTTGTTGAACCTTATGCAATGTCATGGTGGGCATGGTGGAATCTTTGCCAGATGACCATCAGTCCTGCATCTGAACGGCTGCCTATGCAATGACAACGAGTCGGAGCAATGGAGTCCTGTAGACGCTGTGGCAGTTTCTGGCAGTGTTGGGGGTCAGCCAAGTCACCAGTTGGCACTGCCAGCAATGGAGTACATGTTTGGCCTTTCATCATTCCACGATGTGGACTTAGTGGGATGAGCCACGATCCATACATGCAGATTCTTCTCTTCTGCCAATTTGTGCAGCCTGGCCAGGACTGCCACACCGAAAAGTCACTGCTCACTTCGATGCGGTCTAAACCTGCTGGGCCTCTGCAGAAGGGACGAAATGAACTGGTGTTCGATCTCGGTACCGGTTTGTTTGATGTAGTTGTACCTTAGGTCTCTGGGCGGCAGGTATTTCTGAATAGTAGGCTCCTAGGTGTCCCGAATACACGCCGAGTTGCGGGTCAATCATGATGCCCTGTATTCCCAACTCTGCATGTGCTGCTTCAGCTTTCTCTATGATCTCGTCCTGGGCGCACCCATGCATGACAACAGCATATGTTAAATTTTGAGAGTCGCTTCATGCACACAAACTGTGTCGGAGAACGCCGTTTGCACTCTAGGGAGGGAGTCTGCAAGATCGCTTGCCGAGCATCCACGGAAAGACTCTCGAAGCCGTCTACGCCATTCACAAAGTGCTCGTCCAGCCACTTCAGGCCTTCTGCTGTGTCCTGTTCACTGCAACATTGCTTTTGTTGATGCAGTTTTGGATTGCTTTAAGAATCTTTCCTCATCTTGAACACCACAGGCAAGGCGCAGACTGAGATGGTCAGAACGATCCAGAAGCGTGGCAGCCACTATGCAAAGCTCACCGGATGTTCCCTCCACATGATGGGAATCCTGGAACCTACGGAGGCGACTTGGGATTCTAACGGGGTCCTTCTCTGGGGCCACCAACTTCAGCTTCGTGGACAGTTGAACCTTGTGCGTCTGGGTCCGAGGATATCTCGTCACTGCAGTGGTCAACTTCGCAAAGCAAACAACCGAACCGGGCTCAGTGATGCTTTTCGGGTGAGTCGAGCAACTGCCAACTTGTCGACTTCGGCTTCAAACGTGAACATGAGAAAGCCTCAACGACCAACGCACATGATCCAACCAGCGTCTCACATCGTCCTACGATTTCTCTTGATTGCACCTGTAAGCTTAAAGTTGAATCATTTAGCAATGTCTAGTGGGTCTGCCAACCCCCAAAAATCTCGGCAGCACCGGACGGAACGGCGGAGCCCAGGGAGCCCACTGGCATAACTTATTTCATTTATAACTAATTTAATTAATTCAATTACTTTTAAGGAATTTAAATAATTTAATTAATTTAATTAATTTAATTAATTTAACTATAGCTAGGCTTTAAAACAACTGCTGGGTCTGCTAGCTGAGGCCCAGTTGCGCCAGTCGCTTTGATAAGCAATATTGACCTGGGCAGTTCTGGAAAGGCCCTCTTTGGTACATATCAAGTCATATAACATGGACCCAAGTTAGAGTTGGAGATGGAGAAATGACCACCGTCAAGAAGACAACCAACTGTCGGTGCCCTGTAGCGTTGTCTTTTTATTCCGCCAGCTGCTATCGCAAACAAGTACATACGAGGCGCCTCCCCTGTCAAAGCCATAAGCACTCGATCAGTCTAGGAGTTCTACATTCTACATTGCTTCTATTTAGCTATAAGATCTGAGCTGTCACCATGATGCTTGTATTGGGGCGATCCCACATCATGCAGGATGCTAACCGGCCTCAGCGTTATGAAATGGAGAGCGCGTGTTGTTGCGCAAGTCAGCCAGCCCACTTGCGCAACTGTTCGGTTCACTTCACACTGCTTTTGGCAAGCTGACACGTCCAATCTAAACCAGTCATGCAGCTTCTTCTCCCGCAGTGCAGAATGTGTCATAAGGAACCATGAAGCTTGACTGGAGCTAGCATGATAAACCACCCCAACCTGCTTGAACCTCGGTTTTATGTTTGCAAACCTGAATTGCCCAGACCCAGATATCACCCACTCACCACATGCCAAGGCATCCAACGCATTCAGGAGACTCGAGACAAAACTTCGCTTAGACTGCAAGGTCTGCTGCGGGACAAAAGCCTGGCTTGTGACCATCGCTGCTTTGGTCAACTGCCGTGAAACTCTTGAAGTCTGCACTTTCCAGGTGGACGCAGCAAAACACTAGCTACTGCAGTCTCTGCCTTTGGGCAGATTAGACTAGAGCAGCCTGGCATCCTATGAGCCACGCCCTTAGGCATTTCGACCAATGGCCTCTTGATGCACTGGCAGTGATGGTCAGATACTTGTATGAGGTGCGATTGGGACAACCGAACTCCAGTCGATGGTGCACATCCGCCGGCTCATAGCTGAAAGCCTAACACACGCTGTGTCAGCCGCACTGGTTACAGTGCATAGGGCATCACACCGCAAGCCTGAAATTAAACCGATATCCACACGTCCATGCTGTTCTGGCGGCATTCGTTCAGTCTTGCGAAAAAAGCATGAGCAGCTTTTCACGACATGGGCTTGAAGGCAACATTTCTCAACATCAGCGACCTAAAACTAACAGAGGTCCAGAAGTGCAAGTGTCGCCATACGACTAAAAAATGAAAACTGCTAGCTGAAGAGTTGCTGCAAAAGTTGTTTTGTTGACCCTGCTCCTCATGGGAGGAGCCAGAACCCGATAAAGATAAAACATTGGAGGGTTTCAAACCTGAAGCGACAGGAGACGTGAAAAGCTATGACTTCGGCACGCTAGATTCATAATTGCCGTGAATCCTGCGTGGCAACCGGCATTGTAAGCACGTGGCACCACCACAGCCGTTAAAGCAAGCCCACTCCGGGAGGGAACCCAGAATAGCTGTATGTGCCTCGCCATACAAAGCCGATGTCCACAGGAAGTTAGAAATATTTCGTATAAAGCATCCCAGCCTCCCTCTCCCCTCCACACATGCCTGTGCAAGGCCTGATATGGTTTGATCTTGTGCGTCGACTTACAGATTTTCGGAGGGGAGCGGGGCAGGGGGGGGCACCATCTTTTGGGCCATTGGGCGGAAAGGCCTTGGAAAGAGGGAGGGGGGACATGCGACATGTGTATGAGCTCCTCCCGTCTGCTGCGAACATGTGCGAAGACAGACTCAGACTGAGCCTACATGGCTCGCCTGCCTTGCCTTTCCACAAAAGCATTGCCGTCACGAACGACCCGCGTCAGGAAGGACGACCTCTTCGCAGAAAGAACGTTCATGATCTCATCGAACACCTGCGGTCGGTCACCCAATTTAGCGGCTGGGGTTATGCGGTCTGCAGTACACGCTGTGTTCGATGTTCAAGAATTTAAAAGAAGGATCTCAGGACAAAGCCCAGGTCGCTAACACTCCTTAAGCCGTGCCAATGGCCAGTGACTTTCAAGAGCTTTGGCCACCGTGCTGCCTGAGGATGATTCAAGCGCAGGATGTGGCAGGCTGTCGTTACAGGTTGCGAATTCGCAGTCTCCAGTTCAGCGTTTCGCTCCGTGAGCTCCTGGACAATGCTCAGCAAGAGAAGCCTGGCCACAAGGCACCAGGCAAAGCCAGCTCGAGGTGTGCCGTGCCGATTCTGCCCTGAATCAATGGCCTCATTATACTGTGTATATTCATAGCTTAGACCACATTTTTCTACATATTGTTGATATTTGTCATACCACTCAACGTCTCAGAAAAGATACACAGGAAGTGAAAAGAATCGACGCCTTGCAGTGGGTTGGCTTGCGAACGGGAACGCTGTGATGGAAACCAGCGCTGAGATGAGAACCTGAACCTGCGCTGGCGATTTTAGGGTTTAGGGGTTTTGGTTTAGGGTTTAGGGTTTTTTTTTGGTACAAGGGTTTAGGGTTTAGGGTTTCGGGTTTAGGGTTTAGGGTTTAGGGTTTAGGGTTTTTTTGCCCACCCGTGTCGCAAGCGTTTACGGGGAAAAGGTCAGGTTTTACAATGGCCAAAGTTCGGATTCAAAGTTCAGACTGCTTTGGGGCCTCAGGGTGGCCTAAACCTAAACAACCCAACACGGAAATCACCCAAGTTTCTAACAACAGTCAACAGCTCACACACAATCCAGAGCCTGCCCTTGACCCTCCAAAAGGTTCCCTCTCCCCCTCTCCACCCCCAGCCTGCCATGCCTAGTATGCAGGGTTTAGGGTTTAGGGTTTAGGGTTTAGGGTTTACCTTCTTGGGGTCCTTATTATAAGGTCGAAGGGATTTGGGGTTGGGGTTGGTGTTTTTTCACTTCCGCATGGCTGGCCGAACCAGGGTTCAGGGCTTTGTCTCCTTGAGGGTTTAGGCTTCCCGTCGATTTAGGATGGTGTTGTTTTTTGTCTCTCTTTTTGTTTTGGGGGAGCGGGGGGGTTAGGGTTCCACTTTCTGTTCCAGTTTCGACCAGTTTCGACGCAGACATGAGACATGCCATGCCATGAAGGGAGACGAAACGAGTGCCCCACTATGTTCCACTCTTTCTTGCCCTCTAGACTCTAGACAGGGGAGGTCAGCGAAAGATTGCATGCTGCAGTGCTCACGAAGTTGGGTTCTGTTCGGCATCATCATGGAATATCACGGGCATGTGTTGGTGTCGAGTGGCTGTAAATAAACCTAAACCCCAAACCCTAGACCCTAAACCGTGAACGAAAGCTAGAGCCCGGACGGTGGCGCGGCTGGTGTGTTTTTTCGGACACCGCGGGATTTGCAATCTGTACTAGCGCTCAGATACGATACGCCCCTTAAATCCCTTAGTAAACACATGTTTTTGTCATGTTCGCTTGGGCTTTCATGTCCTCCCGCCCCCGGTGTGACCTTCAATCGCTCAAATATGAGGCAACAGCCCCCCCCCCCCCCAAGTCGTTTTTGACCCAGGACAGGAAGGTTGTGAACAACTCCTACAAGCTCCATTCGTTCGTGATTCAATTAGGTCAAGTTCAGATTTAATTTGCTCTCTCCACAGCTTGAGGCACCCTGAGGCATGCCACACAATGCCACGCGAACTCGTCAAGCGGGCTGCTGTCCGAAAAAAAGGTGCAAAGCCAAGAACTTGGCTCGGTATTACCTCAAAACGTAAACTCGGCTTGTACGAGCGGACTTTTGCATCTTTTGTGCAGTTGAGCCGGACAAGGGAACGCCTTTGTTAGCCCACATGTCTCGCAGCAGAGCGACCATCGACCCACAGCAGCCATGGACCGGTGACCACCAGGCAAAAGCAGGGGATCGTTGAAGGGTGTCTAATATCACATAATGATATAGTAATATAGAAATATAGTCATATGGTTCTATAGAAATAGAGAAACATTTGGAATCTGTTCTCCTATAGTTTTGCTTTTCTTGCTTCACCTGGAGCTTTTATCGAGTCGTGACTTGCGCTTTGATTTCAGCGGATTTGAGAGGGCAAGGTAAATGGAGGCAACATTGAGCCTTTCAAAGTGCTGCTTTGGGGGGTCAGTCAAAGAGAATGTGGAGGGGGGAAGTGGGGGTTCTTGCGAAGGTTGGGGCTTTCGACATTTTCCAAGCCAGACTCAGTTTGAAGCAGCCAAGCAGTTCGAAGTGGTAGGGGAAAATCGCCTCTTTCTACCAGTCGCACAACATCAAGCCTCTGAGCTCGCAGGTTGTTAGTTTCGACACAGTCACTTACACTCCAACACAAGAGCCAGGCATCTCAGTGCTGAACAAACTTCAGTTCAGACACGCGCACCCCTGGGCCCTCACTTTCCGGTGCTGTCAGCCGGCAAGCCAACGTTCGCATCTGTGATTGGCTTTACGGCCCGCTCCTCTCTCAAGCCTGCCTTGTGGTCGGGTGTCACAGCACGATGAGTGCCTTTATCCTCAAAAAAACTCGATTTATTTATTTAGTTTGGGATTTATTTTATCTTTCTTGCATATATGTATGTATATACATATACATGTATAGATATATGTATATGTACATATATGTGTGTATATACATATACAAATGTATATTATGAGTTTCTTTGTATATTATGAGTTTCTTTGTTTGGGGGCGGAGGGGGGGGGGGGGAAGTGGGATTTGTTGTTTTTTTGGGTTTTGCTCTCGTTCTGCAAGCATTTTCCTAAATTTCAGTGCGAGATCTTTTGTTTTCTCTTTATTGTACTAGGAGCACCTGTCGAAAGTTCTCTCTAAGTCTACTAGGAAGACATTAATTCTGTCTGTTTCTAATTGGACAACCTCTATCATCCCTGTATGTGTTGATTGGAAAGCCTCTTTCCGCTACATATCGGAAACCTTCGATTTCTCCAATTTTGTTTCGGCAAACCTCTGGCTCTGATATGCCATTAGTATATTTGTGTATTACTATTTTCAAACTTAAATATTTTCATATATTCCTGTATTGCTATATTGCTATATGACAGTATTACTTTTATGTCTATATACTGTAATACTGATTTTACTATATATTCACATATCAATATAATATTTATATAAGCACATTAGTGTATCAACATATACTAATATATTCAAAAAAGTACTAGAGAATGTATGCAATGCATTGATATACTACTGGACTATTATAGTGTTGTATGACTACTCTTATGCAAAAAGCAGTGGTGTGGGCGATGGTTTGCCTGTCAGAACATCGAGAAAGCTTGCAGAGCCAAGCCTTTGAAAAACAAATAAACGAATATCTGTTAAACACACCTCTCCCTCGGAAAAGTCCTCCCACTGTCTGTTTGTCCTTTCCTTCTTTCATGGGGCCACTCTATTTCTACTCTTTCAATTTCGCTCCTGAAGCGCTCACTCACATTGACAAAGACTTCGGCATACGGGCATTTGCAAAAAGACGGGGTACAATCCCCATAAAGGGACCCCCCCAAAAAGTGGACCCCTACTTTCGGAAACCCCCACACAGCTGCATCTCAAGCAGAGGGCCTTCCACGAGCCTGGTCCCCGAGCCATCATGACACGCGCCGTGGCATCCACGAGCTCCTGGCAAGCTAAGCAGTGTAATACCTTGCGATAGTGGAGTATAGAACAATATTCTCACACTCACACTAATATATTACAGTATTCTGTTACTACACTGACTACACTGTAGCGAAATTGTTCCGATAAAACTAGAATTCTGAGCAGCTGCATAATTTGAAAGGCGGCGCAATGGTTTTACATCGAGAGCCCACAGCCAGGGGATGCAAAGATGCCGTCTCTACACATGCCCTACTAGTATTACTACTATTATTGTTATTCTTATTGTTCTTATTATTATATTAGTATTATTATTACTATCCGCCGACCCCCGAAGCGGGGGGGGTGTCAGTGAAGACTCATGTTCGCTGCACCCCCGCTCTCTCCGTTCTCCCTTCCCATGCTACCACCGCCCCCCACCGCCCCCCCCCCCCCCCCGCACCTCAGAATCTTGTGTTGGGGGTGGCGGCACGAACGCGCGTGTTTGGCGACAGAGGGAAGCTTATGCACGCGTGGGCCGCCGCGTCATCCAAGGCCGGAGCCGCTGATGCTGATGATGCGCCCGGCATCCCGGACTGGGGCCGCTGATGCTCCTGATGCGCGCTTGGGGCTCCGGAACTCAACCACTACTCAACCCGCTGATGCTCATGATGCGCTCCCTTTGGAGGACCTTTTGGGGGGTGTCCGGGGCTATCCCATTTTGCGCAAAAAAGCCGTTCACCGGTGGCACGGCGCGCACGCCCCTTCCCGGTTTGCAGAACAACTCTCCTCGAGCTTCTGCCTCAGCCCATGAAAATAATAATTGTGTTATTATTATTATTAATATTATTAGTATTAGTTTTATTAGTATTATTATTAGTTTTATTATTCTTAGTATTGTTGCTATAATTATTCATTTAATCTGAAACTCCAGCGTGCAGGAATGAATTTTGAAACGCTTGGAGCCAGCTCTCTAATGGGGCAATTGAGCTTGCAGGAATCTGATTCGAAGTTCCTGGATGTTGCCCTCCATGTGCGCGGCCGTTTGCGGCTCACGTTTGCAAAGCTCTGCGAAGCCCCACCTGCTTCGCGCTCGGGTGCAACAAAAAGTGCCCGGCATACCAACGTCACAACTACCTCATGGTTGCGGTCGGCTTTGTATAATACGAAGTAGAATTAACTTAGATGAGGCCACCTCTCATGGGCCCCTAAGTGTCCGTCACTGAAGGACTGAAAGGCTTCCCTGAACCAAGTAGCAGCATGTTGGTGATCTCGAAGGACTGGCATTCCGCCAGGGACCTTTCAAGGTACATCATTCCCCTGAAGGCAGCATATGCTTGACGCTTTAGCAGGCTGTAGTCAAGATAGGTCGTAAGTCATCTCATGACCATCCTGCCTGCCAGCGACTCTTGCAAGTACTACCAGCAAAGAGGGCACAAAAAAGCGGAGCACAGCGCAGGACCAGGTGATGATGGTGCAGCAATTCCCCGGCATGCTGGAGTCTTGAAGTTGGAGCTCCTGCTGACCTTTCCACTCTGCCATTTCCAGCATAAGCTTGAACACCGGATCCTGGGTCACCTGGGAGCTTACGAAAGAGGGGAACCCCAATATTAGATTCTGAGATCCCCAAATCGGATCCCCTTGTCATCAGGACCCCGATGAGGGTACCCCTAATATCGTCAACCCCCACCTGGTCAACACTTGCTGGCGCCCCTTGACAGGTGCGTGCGAGCCGATGAATCGCCGTTGCCAAGTTGACCCCATTCATCATATGCAGGTTGGTCGCGGCGACCCGCAATACCTGGCTGTTCACACAGCGATCTAACACTCAGTCAATTAGCTGCTCCCAGGTGCTTCTTCAGAATAGCAGAAGCCAAGAGAATCACAGATCCCCTGATGCCTTGCTGATGCAGTCAACCTTTCTGGACTTTGCTGCGCTGGTGAGAGCCTGCCCGAAGGCAATGTGCAGCTCAGTACAAGGGCTTCATGCGTCGTGCCACGAGCATTTGCATGCGGGCCCGGTCCTTGTTGATGCGCATCTGCACGGCAAGGTCATCACCAGATCCACCTGGAAGAGCATGAAGTGGGGCCTGCCAGAGAGCAGTGAGGTGTCATGAACTTGTGGACAGATACTATTGTGGTCAATGGCCTGTGCAGCCGTGGTCTCGACATGCGCCTGTAGTTTCTGACGGATAGACATGTAGGAACATACTTGCACAAATATCTGCAACACCAGTGCCCACCTGCTCAAGCCCACCACGGGGTGATTCTGGAACATCAGAAGTAGCCCACGAAGCTGGAGCTGTATCGTGCCATGGCCGTGTCTGTTCACGCACCTCCCGGCCCTCTAGCCAGGACTTGGCAGCTGGTCTGACTTGTGGGCTGCGCGACTGCATTCCACGCGCGCGACCAAACTTAGGAATGAAAGTCGGAACGTCTGGTATAACTATGGGGCCATGTCCAAAGTCGCCGCTACCAAGTGGCAAACCATCTGAAGTGAAGGTACGAGCTGCCGCGGCACTGTCATCCTTGTCCTCGGGGTCCTCGAAAGTGATGTATTCGGAAGGGTAAGTTGCAGATCGCGGAGCAAATGGTCCGGTCTCCGGACACAAATTGGCGTCGGTGACGGGCCAGGGTGCTGTCCCTGGCTGTCCGGTTTCGACTCCAAGGATTCGAAAGTTTGCTTGGACGGGAGACGGTGGTTCCCTTTCCAAGAAACCTGCCATGCTTCACTGGCATGTGTGATGTGTGGCCAGCAACTGCTTTATTAAGCAATGTCCCATCATGTCCTGTCCCTGAGATGCTTTATTACTGAGCAGGTAGCTGGATGTAGCTGGTCAAGCTTCGGCTTCTGTACGCAGGTCCTGTTGATATGTGGACGCGTACGGTCCAACGCAAAACCTACATTGAGATCCGGCAGAGCCCAAAGAACACGCCGATGCGGATTGCCAGGCAACGACATTCAAAGCCATAGCAATGACAGTGCTCGCAAAACCAACACAATCTAGCAGCACCTGACTTTGAGATTTTGACAGAAGGAAGGACGCATCCAGTTGTGGCAAGCCACGAGTAGTGACAAGAGCCACTCCGACTTGCCGCTTCCTGGAATTCCAGTTATGACGGTGATCTCGCCCGGCACGACTCTGTAGAAGCGGTCCAATCCATCCCAACCTGTCAGTGGTTTGCAATCACCGGTCAGGACCGGCGGCTCTAAGCGCCCAAGAGCCTGCCTGTGGAGATACCAGACATAAGGGTAGGATCCACTCTGCCTTGCGCAGTGTCTGTGATGGTAGGGGGTTCATAGGTATGGACAGGTCGCGTGCTTTAGCAGTGCTGAGATACATGACGGACGTGCAACAGGCATGTGCAGCACTTGCAGAACTCGAGCTGAAGGCCGCTGCACCTTCAATCACATCCCGAAGATACTGCTTGACGTCCTGATCCTCACACCAGCAATCCAAAACATTCCGGCATTGCACAAACGCAATCTCTGTGGGACCATCGCCTCACTAGGCAGCTTGGAGCGGCAGGATGCGACATAGTGCAGTCTTGCACAACGCAACTGTGAGGTCAACATACGCAGTGACTGGTCCCTGCTGGAGCCCTGCTAGGCCCCCAACAAAGAAGTGTCCGCCCTCCCCGATACAACAAGTTTTGTGCTGGCCCGCGTCCTTGAAGCTGTGCTTCGAATGAGGCATTGGGAGTTGAGCTGCTTCATCCAAAACCTGCCTCGGGCGGCGAATGCAAAGCAGCTGGGATGCTAGACATGTAACGTCCTGGGACGGAAAGGCTGCAAAGTGAACGACAATAGTGCAAGCCGGAATCTTGAGTTTGTTGGCACCGTACATGCGAAGAACATCATTTGCATCCTTTCACGCAGGACAAAGACAAACGGCTCTTTGGAACAAATCGTGCTTTTCATGCGGCTAACAACCGAAACGTCGGCCCAACCTTGCATTCTTCAGGCCAGCTCACCCGATAGCACCTGCACAAGGCAACTCCAGTCTCCCGGCAGCTCAACCAAAGCAAGCCAAATGAGCCGCCTCTGAAATTTTCGGAGCTGATTGTTTGGGATGTTGCCCCTTCTACTAACAGTCCTTACTGGGCATAGGGAGTATAATAGGGGTTACGATAATCCCTAGTCAGGGCTGTTAGAATAAGGGGGAACATCCCAACTGATTGTGTTGGCACATTCTGCGTATGCGTCTGCCCTTCTTTTGAGAGAAACCTGATGAGGCCTATTGTGCCGAATGTCGGCCCACTTGCATAGCTCCCTATGTTATGTCCAACCTCCAAAAGATCCGAACATCGTGCAGCCCAAATGCCATGAAACTGCAGCTTCGCCTGAAAGGCTGCAGCTCCATCGCAAGCTTCTGGAGTGCTTCCTCTCGTGGCCACACGAGCTGCGCTGACAAGTGGGAAGGGGCTGCAAGGGGCTGCGCAATCATCAACAACACTCCGGCTGGCCAAAGGCACAGGCCTCTCCAGCCTTGTCCCCATCGACCGCAAGGATGATCTTCTCTGCAGCATCTAGCGCCTCAGCAAGCTCCCAGGTTTATTTACGATTTGCATGCTGCGGTACGCACTACGCCATGCCTGCCGTGAAGGCCTGGGGCGGGCGCTTCTTTGGCCCCATAATTCCGGCTGAGGCCGCCTCACGACAATGTTGCCTATGGGCCGTCGCTTCTTTTATATGCGATGCCATTCATGGATTGCAGGCTTTAGTACTTTAGTGAGCTACCTGCACAGGGGTGCCCCAATTTAGGGACTTGAGCTTTTCATAGTCGCCCAACAAAGAGTTTTGGAATGGGTGACATGTTGATTGCGGACTCATCCCCGATTGTGCATGCCGAAAACGGGTATCCACTAGATGTTTCCATGGGCACCCTGCCCATTGAATTGAACTGAAGCTTGGTTCAAGAACAAGTGCAAGAAAATGAAGAGACTGAATGTTCAATTCGCATGCCCCGGAGGCATGCTTGTTGGTAGTTGGTTAGCATTGCTATTGATCATTCTGCTGTGTAGTTGCATCCCTCCCTCCCACGTGCAAATGATCTTGATTTTGGCACGACTGGCCAACAGATCTCTGGAGCTCTAAGCTCATCAGCATCACTTGAAAGGATGAGGAGCTGCAGTTGCTTTCCGCAGATTGATCCTTACTCACCTATTCCAGAATGGGGAGGGTGGGCGATTTCTGAAATGCTCAGCTGGGGCACATCAAGCCTGCTGCTGATTCTCACAACTTGCATCACTGTTCCAATCACAGCACGTTCTTCCAATCGTCCCTGCCACCCATCCCTTGTTCAAATTTTGCGATGATTGGCCAGCACCAGCATCACTTTTCAATGATGAGGAGCTTCCTCACCTTGTAGCTCCTTTCCTCTGAAGCATGTCCCACAGGCGACAACACAACACTCTTCAATTTCCCAAGGGTTTGTAGCTCGCAGACTCAAATGGCCACCCACATCGAGTCTCCCTTTGCGAGGTGGGTACATCGACTGCCACGCACGCAACCTGCCGTCCACACTTCGTGTCCAGGTCTACGATACACTGATACACTCCAGCTTTGACCGGACTTCAAGCACTTTCGTCAGCTCGAAGGGCCAAAACCCCAAGCGCAGTCTGAGCTGGCAGCTGGACTGACCCGTCACTCTTCCCGCGGGTAAGATGGGTAAGCACTGAGCAGACTCAGTGGAGGTGAAAGCACTGGGCCATGACACATGGCCCAGATTCCTAATGGGGGAGTTGAGCCATTGACTCCTCAGAGCTCAAAAAGCGAGGTTTTGCCACGGTCACCACCGACGCACAGGCTTCCATCACCACCCGCAACCCGGCAGGGGTTCATCCGGGTCCCGTCCCCCCACCCGGCCCCTGGACCCGCATCATGCTCAGTTCATCACCATATTCAGAGCACGCCCATCAACCCCCAAAATCACAACCATCACGCAGCATCTCCACCGTTATCATCCCTCCCAGTCCTTGCAACCGATGGTGTTCGTTGAGCCGCCGGAACTGCTGAACCGAACACCGGCCCCTGACTGTTTGTGTCGCCATGAAGTTCCATGAAGTTTGGAGGGGATGCAGCAGTCTCGGCATGAGATCCTCAAATCGTTACTTGCAAAACACAACCATATACAAGCGAGCACCGTTCCGCGGAGGCTTCCGAGATATCTGCATGAACGATCTTGCACTGCTCAACACTTTGCAAGTTTTAGGACTCGGCGAGGTTTGGCGTGCAGAATCCCACGAAAGCAAGAGGTCAGTGAAGCAACTTGAAAGATCCCGATGCGCCTGAAGCGCCGTTCTGGAGCGAAGCACAGGCCCTTCCATCTCAGGGCTTGCACTCGACTTGCTCTTCGATGTCTCGGGGCTCAAAGCTTCTTATGGCTTAGTTTTGCCACCACTTGGGCTGTTAAGTGACGTTGTGTTTACTTGTTAGTTTGCTGCTGCTTGATTTCATGAATTAGTTGGCTCGAGTGTTCTGGCTTGGTTTCGACGCTCACGCTCGCGCGAGGCAGGCCAGGTAACTGTCAGTTTCCCTGGGATGGGATGAGAGTCATCAATGTGCTTAAGTCAAGCCCCAGCTTTCTGCACCTGTACCCAGCTGCTTCCACGGAGAGCTTGTCGATCTCGCCCTGCATCACTCCCAACCCGAGATTGAGGCCCGGGCCCTTCACAAGCCGCACAGAAACGATATAATATAATATAATATAATATAATATATAATATAATATAATATAATATAATATATGCTTAAGGCTTGAAGGATCACAGGCAACAGCATAACGACTCGTGATGCGAATTTACGAATCATGCGGGCACCCTGGCCTCTGTAAGCACTATGATGGGCTCCCCGTGCAAATCATCCACCCCGTACAGACCTTCAAGCAAGTGGCCCACTTTGCAAATGCAGCTTGGCGGCCATCAAAACGACTTCGGATGGAACTCGCCGACTCTTGCAGTCTCGGAGTCTTTTTAGAAGTGTCTCAAATGTGCAGCTACAGAATGCTGCATGCTGGTGCGAAAGCACAAAGATAGATCGAGCCGGTGCACCGAATGTCACTGAGATTCACTGAGTATGCTGCATTTGCACCCACCTTTGCTTTGCCAAAAAGACTTCGGCAGCTTGCGGCACTTCTCCGCTACGATCTGGCCCCCCGCACGGTAAGGGAAAACCAGCGCTGGCTGGCCACCGAGCTGCTTGGAGTAGAGCCCATTCCTGGCGGCACATTCGCGGCTGCTTGGTGGTAGAAGGTGGACAGATAAAACTGTTGACCGTTGCTGGCCTTTTACAGTCAATATGATATTATATTGTATCTTATTATGTTGTTTGACATTTTGCTATTTAATATCAAGATCAAAAACATCGTGGCTCCGTACCGCAACTGTCTCCGGGATCTTTCGCTCGAGCAAGAAGTCGCGATGCTCTGGAAGAAGGTCCACATTCCCAGACAAATCCAGCACCGGCTCAAGTCTCTCTTCTTGCTTCCTGTGTTGCCCCGTCTCGGCCGCGCTGTTTCTGGCCGGGTCTACCCAACCCCGGCTGAACCAAACCTTGCCGCAGTGGTTCTTGCGCCAGCACCAGCCTTGCGTGTGTTTACCATTGGGCGGGGGGGGGGGGGGGGGGGCAGAGCGTGCATGCGACTAAGCCTAAGCTCGACAACAGAATGTTGCCATCACTGCAAGATGTAAGTCTCAATCAAATACAATGCACCGATTACTCGCT